AAGCTTTTGCACATTCCGTTCTTCCCTTCCATACTAGGTAATGTTTCATCAGGGCGTTGCATTCATTTTTTAGTCCGTTGTAAACGACAGTGATACACAATTGTGCCGAGATTACCGACATGGTGGTGTCTATACTAGCAAGTGTGTCGAGATTGCGAGCATCTGACCCAACTACACCTTTGACCTTTCACTTCGGAAATAAAAGACTCGGGGCACTTGAAGCTTGCTGTACAAAAATGTTTGTAATAAAGATATCATCATTCCCAATATGAACGAGGAGGCTCTATTACGAAAATCAGCATGCAAGGTGGAAGTAAAGAATTTGCTTACAGTGGCGACATTCGCAACACCCACCCTAGAAATTGTACCGAGGCATACCTGTAGGGGCATAAATAACTTTCGTCGTCCTTTAAAATGCTAAAATTCCAAATAGCGATGCGGTTCTGTTTAACTCCGTACGTCGTACTATTACGTGGTTCCTCCGTAACCGACCGCAATATTTGACATATCCACATTGTACCTATGGGGTGAGAAATAAAAACTTATTCACCATAGCACCTGAAGCAACACTAAAATGATCTATAGTCAAGTCCGTGATTGAAGCAGAATTTAACAAGGAATTGCACGTTAGCTGGAACTCCGAGTAAGATCTGGTTCATGGGCAGGGTAACGCGAAATATGTGGAGGATTGCAGAAAGCCGCCCGTGATAGATTTTATGAAAATATGGAAGAACTGGCGTGATCACAGGGACACACTTTTTACTATGGAGAGGAGCCTTCTTAAATACATATTATGGAATGCTCATAGGTTTCCACTATGATGACTTGTAATTATGCCTGCGGGCGTCATGCAAATCTACCTGCCCAACCACTTAGGAAAGCAAACTTGTGACGACCACATTTTAGAAAGTATTCACGCCAAGGCAAGGGGAACTTGAAGATCGAAGGAAGATCTGGAAGGAGAGCAGAAAGGAAAGAAGGAAACTAATGAAACATGATGACTCACTTGCGTTTGGCACAACCGGGAAAATGCGAATGGGCATAGAGGAATCTCGGCTAAATAGAAGGATTCCCCCCATCCATTCCTCAATCGTATCTCTGTTTCCTTTCGTTCTTCTTCCACGGGAGAGAAACGTCCCTGAAAAGTCGCACATACATATTATTGGTACATGTTATTGGTGTATATTCTGTACTCCTCTACATCCCATTAAAGTCACATACTTGGTGTTCCAATAGTTGTGCAACCTTGGGAAAGGTCACATTATCCCTTTTGCCTTCACAATATGTGTTGGAAAGATTTCCCCTTGTTGCTCTTAGCAAATATGTATTCGACGAACCGCTTTACAGAAACACACATCTGCACACTTGGGTTGGCGCCGTGAATCGATCAACAAATAAAATGTTCCAATTATGCAAGTGAGTATGTCTTTTAAGTAATATTTCAGATAAAACCATGACCGTCTGGCTGTGACAGATGGGGGTAAATCACCCCCAATGATGTCAGCTGCCAGGCAGAAACGGACTGAAAGTATCTCATCGCCAGGTGAACGGTTTGAGCAGCTGCATCATCATGCTGCAGCCGCGTTTCCTCACACTCTTCATTACTAAAAAATTAAAATCATGAAAAAGGGAGGGAATTCCTTGGGTTGCTGCCGCAAACTCGCTTATATTTATCATATCATCGTGTTAACCAAACACCAGACACCAGGTCATTCGATTCCCAATCAAAACATGGATTTTGATGCATTGCATCTTCTGATGAATTTCCCATGGTTCACCTGCCAATTTGCCTCTGGAGACGTACTCACGAAATTTTCACAGGTGTCGCTTCAGTAATTTAAAGAAGAAAATGTTTATCCATTCTTAAAAATTACTGTAGATTCGTTGGTTGGCATATTGGTACTTCAAATGTGCCTTTCTGACTGAAGGTCACTTAACAGTGACAAGGAATACCATGAGAATTCTTGTAAACATTGAACGCATATCCTACCCCTGATTTAGAATGGCCGAAATCATTGGACAGGCACGGCTTTTTCAAATTAAAATTGTATAGAACATGACTTCAATTTCGCACAGGTATACACACAGGTAGTGCATACGGATGGTGGATATGTATAATATAATATTCATAAACAAGTTGTGTGCAAAGCACAGTTTGCTGCTGCCTAAAATAAGATTACGTTCCACTTCCAAAAGTGTGCATTTCAAAAGTGCGCTCGGTAATGCACATGTTTTACTGCATTGCTCAAATAAGTTTACCCAATGGAAAAGGTAATTCCAGATTGATCAAACGATTATTCCAATTAATGATGCTGTTCGGCGCGTCTAAAGGTCCATAAATGGGGAACGGTTTCGAAGTAGTAGCATATAAATCGGCTGAGACCCACGATTTGGTGAGGCTGAACGTAATGCAAGTGTGATTCACCTCCATTAGACGTCGGCCAGAGAGGTTCCATAGCATGTTACCGTTTCTTCACTTTGAAATATGTAACACCTTCAAGGGTAAATGTACATTCGAATACAACATTTCCACTTTCATTGTAAAGCACAATATTGTCCAAGCATTACTCAACTCTCCATTCGTTTAAGAGAAATCCAATTACTACTGACTTCCCAAATAACTTATTTCCGAAAAAGTTTACAAGCTTTGCCCAAGCTCATGCTCAGTGCAATTGTTATACACTTTAAAAAATAATTCCTCCTAAAGCATCGGAAACAGGGTTTCCTTCTAATGCGCGGAAAAACGGATTCCGATTCATAGCGGAATCCATGTCTCCTATTTCTTAACGTAAACATGCTGTTCCGAAAGAGCCTCGGCATCCATACATCCTACTAAAGCGGGTAATGGAGATTTCCTCTAATTTTCAGGAATTTTTCAATCCATAGTCGAAATCGAATTTCCGTTCACGAAAGTAAATTTCCGTCTCATTCAGGTTTTCATTTGTTGCTTTTATTATTCAAAAAGGCTCCTTTTTCCATTCGAAGTACTGCATAATGTATGGGATTTCATTACTATTACGTGACCTCTTCTAATCAATCCGTGAGTATTGGGTACATCCCTATCATGGAGAAGCAGTAAGTTATATTCACTATCGCGATTATGTAGTACCTCTTAATAATCCATTTCGGAAAAGATCGCGACTCATTCTCGCCTTTCTTTCTTCTTAAAGAGAGAGTGTTTGAGGAGAACCACCGAGTCCTGCATATTTTACACTTTAATTGGTCCAAGAAGTGCGGGCCGTCGGCAGTCAGGAAATGTAGATGATTTCTGTTCAGCAGGGTGTCCATCATTTCAGAGCATTCCCTCTCCCAACGGAATGAGGAAGCTGTGATGTGCTTCGTTTTGCCTGTACCCGATGGGGAAATCAACAAAACACCAAACAAAAATACCTTTCTTCTTGAGAATGAAAACGGAGCGATTTCGGAAGCATAATCATTTGTCATAATCAAAGAGATATCGGAAGCTAATTGGAGTCATCTACCATCCAGAATGTAAACTGAAGTTGTCGGGTGGCGTTGTCGATACGGAAAGGTCGGAATGATCGGGAAGTATTTTCCGAGAATATTCGAAGCAGGTTTTTCCGACACGAATAAGGAAAAGGTTCGTACGCTTAAATTCGGAATTCGAGTGCTGGTCCCTCATACGAAATATTTTGTGAAAAATAATAGGAAAATTCCGAAAATGAAGCCAAAGTCGGATTTCCGAGGATATGCAGGAAAAATGTTCCGTCCATTAGGGGGAATGCAGGTTTACGTGCTCTTAGTCGCAAATTTTTCATGATAGGGACTCGAATTTTTCCGATTTTTATTTTACAGTGATCTTGTTCGTCATTCTTCAGTTAGAGGACCATGCTTTAATTAGGATAAGTACCGCGGCAGAAGTAAACGTTAAAGCGAAAAGACTCACTGCATCAAAAAAGTTACATTACTTCACTTAATTTACAAAAACTCACTTGACTTATTTTCCCCAATGAGGACAATGGGCCTCTTCAGCAGATCGGCGGCGGACTGGATTAGTGAAAGACAGTCTCCTGCATCGTCTACCCCCAATCTATTCTGTATGTATTGAGGAGGCTGCATCGTTTTAACTCGTTGAACTCGCCATAAAAAATGGCATTTTAAATTTACTAACTGTGGATACATAGAAGTTCAAGCAGAAAAGAAGCACATAATCAATTTTTAACTGTCCCTAGTAGCATGTAACATTGAATCAATATGTAATCAATGTTGTTTCAATGACATATGCTATTAGGGGTGAAACGTCATTACATTTAGTCATGGAAACGCTAAAAATGGCTTTTTTTTATGCACGCAAGAAATATCCTAATTACAGAAAAATGTAAATATCTCAGAGCGGAACTTTGCAACGGATGTTGACATCTTTATATACTTCAAATGTCCTTGCCATCAAATCAACGGCACCGAACTTTCAATCGATCGCCGATTATCATTGCACACGTAACTTCCCATTTCACGGAGACAAGCAGACATGCAATTTATTTTCCTGTAGCCTCCCGACGACATGTAGGGTCTTTTGCTCTTAAAAGCACATTATCAGCGTTTCTCTGATATGCTCAGGCAGTTTTTCAACTCTGGTGACTGATATTCGTCACTTATCTCAGTATTCCGTGCAATGTTGGACTATGGACTATGTAAGTGGCAATATGACCCAATCTTGTTTTCTGTACCGTTATGTGGTCTTATTTTACCGATTTCGAGGCAACGAGGCCGATTTCCTCCATGTACTTTTTAAAACATTAGTTACTTTTTTAATTCTGAAAAATGCATGGCGTCGTTTTAGCAACGAATGAAAGGCATTTCAGGAAGTAATCTTAGGTATCTTTGTGCTAGAAAAAAATTTCCCAAAATACCTATCTGCCTTAAGTATCAGACATGGTGTGCCGCAACTGCAATAAAAACCTCAATGTAGGTTATTCTCCAAGAATTGCCAGTAAAAAAACTGAGAAGTGCGACTTTGACAGTGATACGACTTTAGATAACTACACCTGGAGGAGAGAGAGATGGAGGAGGGATCCGGAAAGGAAGACAGAGAGGGACTGCAACACTCCTCCCTCATTACTTGTGGTTTCCAGGGGGCATGGAGGATATGAGTAATCCATCCATTCCACTCCGCTCTTTCTGAGGATCCAGAGGATTCTTTCGCTCTCGCGTTCATCAAATGTTGGCACCATACCCTCCCATCCTACTGAACATAAGTTACGAACTAGACACGAAGGGATATAATCACAAAACAGGACATTCCAGTGTTGGGCAGTAAAATCGCATCGGTGTTCGATCTTACCCACGAGGAGTCCAGAGAAGGAAATAAGCTAGTGGCAGGTAAACCTCTTGCAAACCGAAGGAAACAAAGTGTTATGTTGCTGTAGAAGGGAATCACCATGATCATTAGATACTATCACCTAAGTAGTAACGAAACGTTTCATGTTTATTCAATCAACTTTTCATTTAAGGTATTGCCAACGTTCCATGAACGTCATTTGGAACGTTCTATTGACTGCTTAAATGTTCGAAAATTACAACAATAAATAATAATTCAAAGTATGCTTTCCCTGAACGACGTGAATTGGATATTCAGAAGAATATGGTTAAATTGACTCTTTTTCAGAATTCAATTTCCTGGATACGGGATTTTCATCACTTAATTCCATTAAGTCCATGTAAAGCATCGCTGCAGTAACAAGAGTCAGAGTCAATCATATAGCCTATAAGTTTGGTTGGAATTATTCAATACTCTCTTCCCTTTCATGGGATTTGCCTGGCAGATAAGCGTGTGATAGTTCAGTCACATTACAAAACCTTCAATACAATTGCGGGTATCTCCTATTCAGGAATATACCACTCTGCACTGAGCTCCCTTCTTCATAGGAGCAATTAAATGCACTTTCATATTTTTCATTTCTGTCCATTTCCATGAAGTCACCTTGGATATTTGAACCTCATCCATCCATCCATCAAGCCGGAGTTTTCTAAAGACTCCTTGGTCTGGGTTACCTTTTAAGACTTGTTTGTTAAATGGTTCACATATCATCCCCACTGGTGCATCTTGGAAAAGATCGGCTGCCGTGTGGAAGGTATTGGGGACGAATTCCAGCTGTATCATAAATTGACCCGACAACGTTGGCATCATCTAGCTTCGGTTGGGCAAACCTTTAATCAAATCATTGTCAGAGGGATGCCACACATATGCCAAAGGCAAACTTCTCTAACATACAATAAATGTCCTTTAACCCCTTAACTGGGAACTTTGGTTTGCAAAAGATGGATCTGTGATGGGACCTTTTTTCTCTGGTTTTTTGCTTGCTAGACCGTAATGATTTTAATTAAGCATAAAAATTTAACTATAATATATAGAAAAGTGAAGTAAAATTTTCTAAGATGTCCATTACATGTAGAATTTTTTAATTAAAAAATTCAAATAATTTACATATTTTTATAATAAATAATATAATCATTATTATATAAATATAGAATTAATGACAAAGAAATGTTATCATTGCATTATTATATATAATGTATAATTGAACATGTGATATATATTGTAATATTTATTTATTATTTATGTATTTTCGTGTATTATAAATTTATTGATATGCAAGTAACTGTATATGTTCGGGTCTCAGGACCGTCTGTTGCACCAGTAACTTGCCTTGTATTCCCCTTTTCACGAATTTTACCATAATTATGTTAGATAGACATTCAAAATTTCATAGCAGGCCTATTGTGTATTGTAAGACCATGTAGATATCCACTAAAACATTACAATCCCTCGTTCATAATGTCAGTCATTTTTTTGATCAAGTGAGGAACCTGCAATTGATGGAAAAAACAGTGCTCACTAGACAGTTCATACCTAATAATCCCCCGATAATTACTGCTCATAGTAGAAAAGCTTCTGCCATCTATCGGCAGATATTTCAACAAGTCCCATCACAGCAAAATTGACCGCAAATACGCGGCGAATCCATTGTAAACCAGTCAGAAAACACGCGAACTCATATGCGGTGAGTCCATTGAGAGATGGCAGGTGCCAGACCGCACATATGCGGCGAGTCCATTAAAGAACGACCTGTTTTAGTGATGAAATGACACATCAACTGGAGCGCCCAGAAACTGCTCATCCGTGTACATTGCACGTCAAAAAACTTTTTTCAAAACAAGTTGCACGTCCTTCAGAAACTTCATGTGTTATTTCGGAACTGTCATTTATATCGTATAAAGCCCACAGTTTCATTTGACCTATAATTATCACTGACATGTCAACAAAGGTGAAGAAAAAGTATTTAGTAAAATCATAGAACCAAACGGCAATTAATATGGGGGAATCATTGTCTAAACCATACGTTCAGTTGAGACGAATAGAGGAATACAGGGAACATGCAGCACACAGCACAGTCACAATCCAGAAATAATCTTATCTTTTACTGCAGGCTCCCGTTTCCATACATTATACGAGGGTGATGTAAGTTTTTCGCGGACTTTTGCTTTTAAAGGCTTGCATCATTTAAAAAATCGCTAGCTATCCATATGGATTGGTAGAGAGGATATCAAGAAACACAGTTCTGCAATAAAAATTGTTGTGGACATCGTTGTCATTGATCGAAAACGAGGGAAAATCACTTGACTCGGTTCCTGAACAAGTCATTTTGATGAAGTTTTTGCTGATGGAAGGTATGAAACCAAGTGAGATTCGCAAGCGATTCCCTGTGTTTAGGTGGTGTTCACATTTTAAACTTGACCGTAAAATGTGCTTCATGGCCTTGTGCTTGGCAATATAATTTATTCGGGATCACTCCGGGGTTATTCTTGTGGTTTTTTGTCTAAAAGCTCTACCATCAACATTGCCTTTACCTGGAACGCCCTGCAAGCTGTGCTGGCAAATATCCACAAAAAACGGTCGTGGAGTGCTCTTTCTGCAAGAGAACGTTTGACCAAACACAACCATTGAAAAAGTGGCAAAAATGGCCAGCCTCATCTGGGAGTTTGTCACACACCCGCCCTGCAACCCGATTAAGCTTCGAGCGATATCCTTTTGTCTGTGCCCCTGAATAAACACTCTGGTGGTGGGCGATTCGAAACCGAGAAAGCTGTGAAAGAGCGCCTCCGAAAATGGTTCAACCAGCAAGACAGGTATTCATGCTAAGGGCATTCAAGCGCTAGTGCACCGTTGAGAAAAATGCTCCACTGTAAAGGGCAACGACGAGGGGAATAAGTCTGAGCTTGAAATTAATTGCATTGCTAATGCTCCAGAAAATAAAGTCCACGAAAGACTTCAATCACCCTCATGCTTTTACTTTTTTGCAATCTACCATTGTGACCGCGATGCGGGAAACAATACAGCCTCAGAAGATTTCTCGCGTTCTTCGAATTTTTTACGTCATTCATGAGAGATTTTAAAGGACTGAAGATTATATAAGTAGTGACAAAGCAAAGACGTGAACACGTCATTCTGTAATTCTAAAATTCCGCAATTAGGCAGATGGACCTCCACGAGCAAACTGTGATGATGGACTTCTTTGAGAAGCTCGTGTGAACGCAAGTGATGACGTACTGACGAATCGACTGGTATTTCATCATGGAGGTTTGAAATCTAGATTCACGACAGCAGGAGGGAGGCATTGCGTCATACGATGCCCTCGTCCTCTGACTTGTACGACGGGAACTCTCGTCTCCCCGCCCATCCTGAATATGGCGATACGAGCGAACCTACGATTCTCCGTGAATGTGGCCTCCCCTCCTTTCGTGAGGTCGACCAGTAAGTTTGATATCACAGAGGCACATCTACGGATGATGAAGTAGATCTAGGTGAAAACCTCGAGATCATCTTTCAAAGCAATTGACCTATCAATCACACAAACACATTTGGGCTAGCTAGTTTTCAACATCTAGCACGCAATATGTTTTACATCCAGACCTCGGTTGTTTCGAAACCAAGGTGCTCCATTTTGAAGAAAAGAAGTACAATTTTCATTGTATGCACACAATTTAAAAAAGTAAAGCTTATTTGTGACGTACTACCTGCTCCATCTATCTAAAGAATTTTCACTTACTTGAATGAGAGACATATCCCCATTCATAGAACGGTAAAGAGAATTTCAGCCGAGGGAAATCTTTGCTAAGGGCTTCCCATGTTTCAGGAGAGAAGGAAAGGATGGCTCCCGTGTCTTCGTCTAGAATGCCTCCTCTCCTCACTGCTTCCTCTCCTGTTAGACTTCCTCCCTCATCCCACGTCGGCGTCTGCAACACGGAAAGATGTTCGCTTCCTGGTTTTATCAAAGTCTCCAATTTTTTTAAAGCATTATTCGGAAACAGTCCGCACAAACTTGGAGGATTAGTGTCACCTCGTGACTTCTTCAGCTGGTATTGCGAAGATTCTTCATTAGGGTGCAAATCAAGTGTTTGAAAATAACGGAATGTGAAGGCAATGTATGCGACCAAGGAGCTGCGACATATTTTTCACAAAAGACAAGGTTGAAGCTGTAACGGGCACGGGGCGCAGTGGGTTGGATTTATGAAAATACCAACTATTAATTAAGTTCAAATAAAAACTTTACCTTAACGCGCCCCGATTCCACTACAATGAATTCCTTCCAGGAAACCAGGTCCGTGCCAATTCAAATTCGAGTGGGAGTAACTAAGGCGTAATTCAAGAAAACAAAAAAAAAGTATTTCCAAAAAGAAAAATTAATAATTAAAAAAGAGAAAGGAAATGTTAACCAAACAACCGGTCCAACCCCTTTACAGTAATTTCAATGACAAAGGGCTGATCTTCACTTCCAGATAAAACCTTGCAAGTTCTGGGGAAAACTCACGACCTTCGGAGCGAAACGATCCTTTATGTATTTGTTCCTCTGTATGTTTTTTAGAGAGAAAGGCGGCCAGTTTTAATACACCCACGATCTAAAGGGCCCGAGTACCCCGGTCAAATCGGTACTAACTCGAGTTCTTCGAGTTCGAGCTCTTCATTCACCTCGGAGTGAGGGATCGAGGGAGGGATCTTCTGCTGAAATCTTGCTGGATTGAAGGATAGGTTTTGGCGATTAGACTTGATTGGAGGGACTTTGATACCCATTCGCATAATGATGTTATGGCTCCTTTTACGGTGTTTGGGTAGCACATTCGAGAAGGAAAGATCCTCCATATAAACTGTAAGGAGCCCTTCCACGTGTTGGTTGACCCCAAACACTGGGTTCACCTCCCTCCACGTGTTGATGGATGTTTTAGTTCACCTCCTTCAGCTTCCTCCCCGCCTCGACTCTACTGATAACTGGACGTTGCGCGGTCTTAGGCTGGCATACGTTACAAAGCTACTCTCATCAATTGTCGACTATAATCAACGTACGCGGCTCAGTGCATTCTGAAATATGCTCGAATGTCTCTCTCAACAGTTAAGTATTTAAAGAATGATGGACGAAGTATCAAAGATCATGCTTCATAAGAGCGGTTTACCACCGCCACCCACGTTGCGCGTATATCAAAGTGCTAGACAGTTTTGAATAAACAAATGCAACGGATTTTGTCTGATAGACACTATTTCCCCAAATTCTTACAACACCAATTACGAATACTTTGGATCTGGTCATCTAATTTAAAAATACACTCGGTATCACAGCATTGGCAGGTTGTCTTGGCCGAGGAAGAACTGCTAACGATTTATAGGGTAAGTAGCTCGCAATGCCAGAAGCGCTCCCTCTGGAAATAGAATTATATCCGTCCTGGCTTACCTGGTCAGATTTTAAATGGCAGAGGAATATTGATATCCATTGACCTTATTAAGTCCGAGATATGACATATCGATCAATATATACAGGCGGAGCAGTAGCCCGTCATGCTAATATTTTACTTAACAACTGAATGACCATGAGAGCATCCGTGCAATGGTGAACATTATGCCCACAACATGCTGGTCTCTTAAATTCTGCTCCAACAGGGAGGAACTTCAGCGATGCAAAGAGAAGCTGCAATGTAATTTTTGCAATTTCAAATCAGGTGTTGCCAATATGGTTGAAAGTAATTACAGCTGGGATTCCGCAATCACCCTTATTTTGATTAAACAATTGCGCCATTATTCATATATACAAGTATACAAGTGCGATGCAATTGGTATTATGTGAAACTGAACTACAGTGGAAATTCTTGCAAATTTATTGGTATTTAGTAATGAGATAAGAAACTCATGTAACATGAAGAAATTATATTTAAGATAAATTGTCGTATATTGTAGAAAAGTAGGAAAATAAGAATCTAACCTTAAGAAACTTCTTAGTTTCATCAAGCTTAATGAGGGTTTCCTTGCTATAGATGTCCTCCAGGATGAGAACATGACCCTTGACTTGGACGCGACCTTCTTCCAACATCGTTCGCCAGAGCTCTCGATGCTCTTGTAGGAAATCGATTATGACAAGGCGAGTCCGAGAGCGGGAGATTACTTCCAACATCCAGTCCTCAGGGATGTTCACAGAGATGACGATGGAAGCTTCGCAGCCTCGAAAATCCTTTGGATGGATGAATCGAATTTTACGTTCAGTGCTTGATCGTGGGATATTTCTTAAACATGCTAGCAGATTTTCATCAGCTGCAAGGACATGGATCTCATCACTGCCTTTCTTCACCTCTTCCATGGCGATGGAATAGACAAATATGGATTGAGGAGAGGGAGTAGTGTGCATTTCCTTAGCAAGGGGGCCACACATAGGATTTCCTTTGCATGTGTATCCCACGTGTCGCCCTGGGCACTTGTAATTTATGTCATTTATGAGTAGCACTGGCTCACCGAAAATGATGGCGGCGGGCAGTGAAGATGTAGGGAGACTCTTCGCTTGCAACTCTAAGGGAGTGCCAGCCTCGTTTCGATAGATGTGCCTTAAGAGTTTCATGTCTGTTGGAGGGGATGGGAGGACAACAGCAATTGTATTCGCATTGGATTTCAAGAGTCTCATTATCACCTCGATTGGGATTCCCGAATCTTCGCGTGAATGTGACTTGAAAACGAGGACCAGCTTAATTTTGAGTTTTTTAAACTGGTCCACAACCTTGTTGATCTGCTCTTCCATATCCTTCAATATCGGGCAGTCTTCGATGACGACAAGCATTGAACCAACCACCTTGCCCTTCCTTTTTGCAGCTACTACCAATTCGTTGTTGTTCAATATATCCTGCAAAGACTCAATATTGTTGGAAGGGACAGGTTTAATGTCGACATTTTTTTCAGTTCTCCAGCGTTGCTTATATAGTTCTTGAGACAACAGGCTTCCACAATGGAGAATGAGGATTCGAACCTGAAGCTGTAATCCTCTTTGAATGAACATGTCAACTCTCCGAGACTTTCCTGAACCTGGATACCCAAATACTCCTATTATCCAAGATCCAAGCAAATTCTTCACCTCTTCCATTTCATCGCCTGCGTCCCATTTAACATCCATTTTAGGGCAGCTTCCAGAAGGGAACGACTTTTCATTAAGATGATGAATCACATCACTTTTATACTCTTCCCATGCAGTTTCCAGCTTTTGAATGAGACCTTGTTCATTAAAGTTGATCTCTTTTATATCCCATCCAGGAATTTCTTTTACAAGACGAGAGAACTTGCCTGTCTTCCAGTCTTCTTCCTCTATAATGAGAAGTTTCTTGTCATCAGTGGTTGTTATCAATCGGCAGAAATTCTTCCATAAGGAATTGGGGAAATCTAATATTACTTTGACGTTATTCACATGGCACCCTAGCATTTCTTCATCAGTTACCACAAGGGAGAAGGAACCCTCCGGCGGGAGCTTTCCTAAGAATTTCCCTTTCTCACCAAAGAACGAAACAGGTGAGTGGTCGATAAAAGTGAGTATATTGACCATGGCTGCCTTCATTCTGTCACTATCAACCACGACAAGGAGTGGAGCTTTCCTCGATGATGTCGAGAATTCATTATGGATGTACTTAATGGCATGAGAAGCTCTGACAGCCCGACAGATCAGTTCATCCTTGCACTTGCTTGGGTGAAGAGAGAAACAAGATGGAACTGGGAAGAGGACTGGGAGGAATTTAATCTCCGACTCTTCTACATCCATTGGAAGTGTCCTTTCCCGGGATATGAAGATCCGGCGTGAATAATCCGCGATAGCCAGAAACAAGTCTGCAATTTTTCTGCTATTCCTCTTTACTCTATCAAGGACTTTAATAGAAAGACCTCCAGGCTTGATATCCTGCAAAGGAACGTCCCTGGAGTAAGACTGGTCATTAGGTCGGAAGACGAGAGTGATGGTTTTAACGTAATCCTTCATTTTCACAATAAATCCCCAATGGTCAGAAATTGCATCTGGGGTGAGGTTTTCCTGTACTCCCTGGAATCCTAAAGTGAGAGGGACTTCATCAACCAGAACATGTTTTCCTTTTCCCTTCTTCATTAGCAGTTCTTTCAACTTTTCCAAGTTCTCTTCTATGTCCTCCTCTCTCCCATCGACAACCTCGATTCTCGGGTTATCTGTTCGAACAGAGATGCGCATTTTCAACTTCTAACCAACACGCATGACCCTCGCAAAAGAAAATCTCTGTGAAGTGTACATGGATCAGTTAATGGATGCACGAAGCTAATGGATGCACGAAGATATCCGGTAGTCTAACATGGGAATGAAAGCCGATATCTAAAGAATACCTTCGAAAACAGTTGATGGGAAGGCACAATATCATTTCCACTTGTCTTACTTACCTTGTATATCTAGACTACCTCCGAAATTTGTAATATTTCTTCTGTCGATCTAAGTTATCGATCACTCAAAGTTAACTGTATGTACATAGCACAGATGAGGCTAGAAAATATACTTACTCCATGCCTTTGGGCTTAATCAGATTTCAGGAGAGAATCGGAAGTTTAAGAAGAAGAAGTTTAAATCTTCTCATGCCATGATACACAAATAAAGAACCCGCTGGGCATTGTATCCCTTTTTGAAACTGAATATAGTAATATTTGCCTTACTTATTTCTAGACACAAGCCCATGCAATGTGATATGCAATTTAATCGAGCATGGTGCGCATGTCTTACAGCGTTCCAGAACATGCATTTCTGATCTGGCCCTCTTAATTACCTTCACTGCCAATTTTTACGATTGCGAATCCAAGCATTCAAAATTCCTAAGGAGAAAGCATCCACCACTAGACCAGTGTGAGCACGACTCCTGGTTTTGACCCACCGTTGAAGTCGTTTCGGAATTCTTCGGTCAGCAGTCCCCCGGAGACGTTTATGACCATGACATCATTTTTCTTCCCCAATTCCATGGCTCTTCTCTTGAGGACAAATGTTTTACCTGTTCCACTTCCTCCACAAATGAACATCACCTTATCATCACTCATCACTAATTCTTTCTGCTGAGGAGTTAGAAGAACCAGTACTGGCTCCATTTGCTTTTCACACGTGGTGAATAACTGACAAGAGTTACGTGGGAGGTCCACAGCTGATGCAGCAGAAACATACAAGTCGAATATGTCCTTGAACGTTTTCATAATAGGAGAATTGGGATCCAAGATCGAAGGACTTTCTAGGACAATCCCATGTCTTGCCAAAAATTCTTTGAACCTCATGGGACTTCCAAGATCGTCTAATGTTAATATTCGTTCCCTGCAATCCGTGCATTTCAGCACGGGACATGTCACACTAAGTTGCTTTAAATCTGAGCGTGAGAGCATCGGAAAAGCAGCAAAGCCTGCCAACCGAACCGTCGAGCTCATGAAATTGCCACACATTGTACGGAATATGTTGATGTCGTGATCCAGTTGTTTGTTGGCTTTTGCGAGCGATTTGATAACCGTTTTAGGATTTGCCTTCATTGTGGTTGCCTTAACTTGAAAGAAAAGTCCATAAATATTCTGGCCAGAAATGCCAACACCAAAAATATCATGATCTCCTGGTTTGATGGCATCTTCGTTTACTCCAAACTCTTTAGCGAACATTTCTCTTTGCTTTCTTGTGATGCCTTTTAGCAATGTGTCAGTGAAGGCGTAATCAGCCATTGTGAGTGATGGGGCATCCTTCAATAAATCCTTAAGATGATCGAACACAATTGCAACAGAAAGCATATCATGGGGAATATCCGCATCTTCCTGAGGATTCTCCTGAGCCTTTCTCATTAATTTCCTGTGTTCCTTTTCTTTCAAAATGTATCCCTCAGGGAGGGAGTATGCCTTCTTATAGGCTTCAGGGTAAATCTGTCCCACATAGTCACCTGCGGCTTCCTTAAGGGGCCTCGTTTCTCCTGCTCCCATGTATATTTTCAGATGATCACGAATGTCCAGGTTTCCTTTCCTTTCATACATTGCAAGCTTTCCCAATGATGACCACTTCTCACAGTTCTCGCATCCTGCTTCAGTCATCTATAATATTTAAAAAAGAACCTTTTCATATGAGGAATACTGATTTATTTCCGTGCACTGTACTTATTGTAAGTGCTCCTTTTCAAAAGCAACATGTGGGTCAAATAGTGAGGTTAACATTACGTACATGGAGATTACACCTTGTTGAGGCTATTCCTTGCGCCTCGAAGTTAATGTTAACAACTAAATCGCCTGTATCTCAGAAAAAGGCTATGTAAGATGTGACCTATAACAGAGTTTAACCACTCGGAGAGCTTTGCACCATCATTTATGAGTGGTATGGCCTAGAAATTATTTAGAGCAATTAAAAGCACCAAATCTTTTTGTCCTGGGTCATCATTGGCAGAGGATGTCACACATTAAAGGAATTAGTCGCTTGTGTGATGAATATTAGAAAGTCAACTATTTTCCACAATGACAACGTCCAATCAGAAGACAACATGACTGACGATTGACAGCAGCATTGGGGGTGTACAAGCAACGACATCGTGGCATATTGAATCTTTCACATTTGTAACCGATGAGAAATGGCTCATTTAGAGTCATGTTTTTCATGAATGTCTTTCAATAATAGATCCTTTCCATCATCGTGGCGTCACATTTGCAAGGAATAGACCATAACATGTGTATGAGTTCTCGTCAGCTAAAGCACATTCCCAAGTGCAGTCTCCAAGTAGTTACTGAATCTGATCTCTTTTAGGCTTTCCATTTCTAAAAAATTGATTCAACTCACTTCTAGTGACCCTAACTACGGATGTTACCCACTGAACTCAAGACTGAACCTGAGGTGGTGTTCCTTGACTGAGCAGTGAGTTATCCGTATCCCTTTCCGTATGTCCAAGGAGAGTTGAAATTCGCATTTGTCTTAACCATGGGTACGTTAATTCTCGATTCTATTCACACTTATGTATTTTCCTGGGGCTGTATTTGGGTCTTAAAATACGTACTTGTGTAATCCTCCTACCGCTGATTGGAAAGCTTCTGAAACTGAGTGTTCAATGAAACCTCTGAAAGGGATATAATGAGAACAGTGTTTCATAATGAGGTAGATACCATACAGTTAATGAAGAACGTGAACGGTCACCACCTTAAGGCTCATTGCCGTCACCAGATCAACGCATTTGACAAGTCTTCCAGCATCATCTAATCCAGTCTCATCAAATTAGAGCATGATAAGAAGCTGCTTAATGCATTGCAGTCTAGGTGTGTGGGCTGAAAGGAGCTCAACCACACTCACACGAAATACACTTTAAAAAAAAAACAAGCGGAACGTGACTCATGCCAGGTCTTGCTAAAAAGTATGCATTATTTTCCAGAGTTGATCATATGAACTTAATTTGACAGGCTTATGACTTCTAGTTATACGCTTTTGTTTTCCGAACAGGGAATTATGAGTTTTGAACAGGGGCTTTTTTCAAATTTAAAGTCAATCATTGAATTTCCTTTTGCTAAGGTGATACAAAACGTGAAGGATAATAAACAAAAAACTATGAAGAGACAATAATAAACTGGAAATTTGACATGTTTTATGAAAATTGGAGTTCATCTGTATCCGTGAAGAAATTGTGAATTTTCTAAAATAGCTCGACCCCGATGGTAAGAGCCTTTATGAATGCCCAGGTCCTGAAGCACATATTAACGGAATATTTTGACGGCGGATTTATTCTTCGAGTAATCCTTTCCTTAGTAGCAAGCAAATAAGGAACTCATGAAGTTGCACAATGCAATTTTATGAGTTCCTTATTTGCAATCACTACAATAGTGATTGCAATAATGGGGTTTAAGGGATGGAATGCTCTTCTTTAATAATAACTTAGGAATAAATTGTCTCCATATTTCAGAGTCAATGAGTGTTTTTGCTGGAGACTCCTAAGCCTCTACTCCAGTGTGCGACAAATGCAGGCAAGTGCATGAAAAAGAGATAAGCAAGCTACTGAGGAATGTCAGCAGATGGATTGCCAATACGTGTCCTCTTCATTGCGGCTCGGTCATAAATTGATCTCCCGTCAGACCCTCCATTTTGTGCCATAATAAATTCAAATACAATTGATTTAGATGCGAAGAGATCCCGCGAGGTACCGGGTGGAAGAAGCCGTCTGGATATCGCTGTGGGATTTCACAGCCCCTTTCTCTTCAGTAAAACCAGACCCTAATTAGCACTCATAAAAGTAATCTCTAACGAGGAGAAACTGGATTTAACCGATGTGTTTTGCTCAGAGATGAGTAACCACGTTTCATTTCCAGCGCAGGAGTCCTTCAATGTCCAACATATTGAGATGGGGGTACATATTGTTCAGTGATCTTTCATTTTAAACGTACCAGGACAAGGCTTGGGAAATGAACGCTCAACCTGGTTGTATTGAGATGCTGCCCCCTTATCAGTGTCGCTATTCAACGAACTACTCTACTTCCATGATAAATAGGATTATCCGTTGTTTGACTACTTGAACTAGTCAGGAAAGGTTGTAATCGTCCCTGTACTCCATGGATTCTCCCGACGGTGAAACAATTACATGTATGAACGGTGCAGAGCTCATGGAGTTGTCTATGATTGCTTCGTTGACTTGTAGCGGAAAATATGTTTATTTTAGTAGTTCAGGACAATTTCTGATATCAGACTGCCTTATTGTTATAATAATGTCAGTCAGAAAGCATTCGTCAATTTTTAAAAGAGACTTTTCGATTCCCTTTCATAGGATACTGAAGTAGAATTAAGGATCAAACGGATCTGCAAGCTCAAACCATTTACCGTAGCTGCGAGACATTTTGTTTTCAAGATGGCTTTGTGGAAATAGTCTAAAATGTCATAAAGGAAAAGAGTCGTGAGATAAAATGCCATGGCGACTCTTACCTCTTGGGCATTGTATATTTCTGGAGATGGTGGTTGATGTGAGGTCTGAGTAGAGAATCCATTAATAGCAGGTGTATATAGAAAGTGGTTCTCTTTCTCGTCTCCATCAAACTTAAGGACCCGAAGTCCTGCTGGATGGGAAAGATCATTCATTCCTGATAAGACTTGCTATAGTACTCGTTCCAGTATTCCATAAAGCTTGATTCGTAATATTCAATTGCCATGGCTTCCATCAGCTCAGACATCGAGGTGACGTGGTTGATCTGCATCTTCACGTCTGACTTGGTAACAAAGTATCACAAGACTTCGAAGGGAGACCACGTCATTAGAATGTAAACTGTTGTTATGTCCTTGTCTCTGTCTGTCTCGTTGAATAGCATCGACTTCTATCTCGAGGAAAGCAGCATTCTTGCAATCGTTAGATAAGATAGACCTCCCATCATGGCCGCCACACCTTGATTTTGTCCTGTATGGTCCACTCTCTAGTCTGATTTCGTCTGATATTTCAAAGCTGGAGTTCACGTCAAGATCAGTTTGTGGGGCAGGCGGATTTCCAAAAAGGATGGATTGGCATTTCGACATGGCATTGGTGTGAAAATGATAAGCATATATCAAACAAATAGTAAAAAATGTTCCCGTCTGAAGGCATCAGAGCATGTGACTTTCTTGAATTATGAACCTCCATTCCTACACGTCCTGCAGCCCTAACTTGCTACCAATCACTCTCTTCCCTCTTCCTGAATTTAGAGGGAGTTTACATGATGAAATATCCTCAACCGAATGGTTCCTAACTACAGGGTGTCTCAAAAGTTGCATGCACATTTTTAAAATAAAAAATTAAAGAAATAATTCAGAGAGTGACGATGTTTTGTGGGACATATACTGTACCTTACAAATGGCGTTATTGTGTACTGTAATGATCCCACGTCGTCAGTCAACTGTTACCCATGAGTCAGTATAACGCAAGACGGCGCATGCTCGTTTGACTGTGGAGCAGCGTAAGTTGATTTTTGAAGTGGTACTGAAAATCTGAGAACATGTGTTAGGTGCGAAAAAGATGGAGAGGCGAATCTGCAACTGAGCCGCCAACACGAATGACAATTTCGAGAATTCATGATAAGTTTGATACTGATGGTATAGTGCGCAAACAACGTTTTGGGAGACCCCAAGCACCAGTAAGAAATAAGCTGCACTTCAAGAACTCAGGCATGAAATTAAGAAGTCCTGTTCTGCTAGTAAAATATGCAAAAAAGAATTTTGTGAGACAACGCCATGAAACGTATGTGTTCAGCAGAGTAAAAGCAGAAACGAACAGTGAAGTACATATTTTGCTCGTTATGAGGTACAACCGTAAGTCGTAAAATACGTTCACATGTTGTCTCATACTTATCTCTGCGCATTCAAAAATGTTTAAAATCTTCACTTAGTGGCACATATAAATCATGTGCCACGTACCTGATTTAGTGCTCAGCATATTTGCCAATGAAGGACTGCCAGACATCTTTCTAATTTACCCCATCGAACGGTCCCTTTCGAATGCCCTCCTATATGAAAGTCTAGATGGCGTTTTTCGACTGGGTCATACTGTTATAACATTTCCCCTTGAGCTAAGTTTTAAAGAGCCGTCCCTTTTCCATTCCCTTTGAGAACCATCGATTAGAATCCAGCGCACAATGGTCTTGGGAAGTTGAATTTTCAAGTACCACACATTTTTCACAAACCCGGTCTTGCTTTCGCGCAGTGCTTTCGACATTTCCTTAGACTGCCTCGTCTCTAGATGAGACAGGTCGGAAAAGCCCCAGGTTTGGGATCGATGCCGGTGCGCCCTTACGAAATCATAGCACCAAGCTCTGGTCGATATGGGTCATCAAACCCATAGAACATGAAAGTTTGGCTGGTGGAATTGTCTTTCCACGAGAGATGCTGGGTCAGCATCCAGCATCGTACATCAGCTTTATACGAATGGAGGAAGACAGAATCCATGCAGCAAACGGCAGTGTCGATTCGCTAGTCACTATTTTTTTCCTGCAAGGTCCCATCTATTAATTGATTAAAACGTTAATTGTTTGCCAATGCGCCTGCGATGCGAGAAAATAGTGCAACATTTGAAGAACTCAAGAGCTCGACGGCTATTTTACGGCGTTCGTGAGTGCTTTCAGAATACTGAAGGTGATGTAAGAAATGACGAAATAGCCTGTCATTCTGCAATTCTGAAATATTCTGCAATTTGAGAGATGAGAAGTACATCCTCCACGTGCGTGGAGTTTCACGTGCAGTTTCCTCCACGAGGAAACTGCAGTGATGTACTTATTTGTGGAGCCCATGTGAACACAAGTGGGGACGAATTGACGAATCAAGACAAATTTCATCATTGACGTTTAAAATCCCTGGATACAAAACACCAGACGGGTTGCGCTGCATTAAGCGATGCCAGCGTTCCCTTTCGATTACCACGGCAGACTCTCGTTTCGTAGTCCATCCGAAAGGTGGCAAGACGAGAACGTATCTCCGATATTCCGTGAAAGTTGCCTCCCCTCCCTTTCATGAGGCCTTTTCCAAATTTAATTTAGCAAAGGCACACCCTCGGATGAAAATGGGAATTTCTCTTGAGCTCTAAGTTGATATCTCGAAGCATTTGGCCTGCGGAGCTGTCACGCGTGCACAAACACACAATTATCGCTCTGCCCAGCTAGCGGTTAGATCGTGCACCCTATGTATTTAACCTCCGGACCTCTGTCGCTTCGCAACCAAGGTATGTAGATACATATAGATCGATATATTAAATGTCTATTAAATTTATAGATATTATTAATATAGATTTATCCGACCATCTCATCACCAGTCATTAGCATCGTTACAATCCCTTGTGCATCAACTCAATGGCACACCACACGCATCCTGTGTCCTGCATTGGCGATAGCCCATAGGCGAGATATTTCCTCGAAGTTCTTTTTTGTACAATGAGACGTCTGGGGCATGCGAGTCTTCCTGTCAAGTTTTCCCATCTTCCGCCTTTCAGTCCCGTTTGTTCTATCCTGCACGTCCTACGTGACCGGTTCCGCGAGTCCTTTTCTTTTCCAAGCGCACCTAATCTGACTCCAACTCCGCACTGCTTGCATTTACACTGCTCTTCCGCACTCCAATAGTTTTTTCGGAAACGGTGGGCTGCCTCGGCCCTTCAATTTTATCTAACTGGAGCTCGAAATTGGCATGAAGTGATCTTCTGCATCAAGGTCGTTTTCCTTTCCTTTTCGTCAATTAAGTCGTCATAGTCATCAGTTAAGGCCAGCCATATATATTTTAATTTGCATATTTATGATTGAATCATTTTTTTCCTTCTTGTCGAACGTCATCCTACAATTGTCATCAGCCATCATATCGAATGTTTGTCCTGTCTCAGGAGTGAGACCGGACCCATGTATTGATATATAATAATATCGTTGTTTGTCTGTTTGTCCGGGAACTCCTCCTCTCCCGCTCATCGGATATGAACGAATCCTGTATCGATGGCGTGCTTAGAACCTCGGAAAGTTACAGATCCCATTTTCGTCGCTTTCCGACTAAAACTGAGAAATTTCGACAAACACTGTTGCAAGGAGTGTGGGCCAAGTCAGTGGTTCGATGGAAGCGTGTCGTTGCTCCCGTGACAGAGGACCACGATTCGAAACCAGGCGGCATCGGATCTTTTATTCCCGAGACTAGGTCACTGCGTTATTTGGATCGGATGCCCCCGAGCAGGAAGCATTGCCGTCTTTGCTATGTGAAACATTATACGATGGCGATGGTGTAAAGCCGAACCTGGGCGTTACTTCCCTGAAGCCGTCGTGAGGTAGAGTGGGGCGCGGAATCTACGTCATGAGCGCATGAGAGAAGCTAGGGAGTGCGGTCATGGAGGGAATGCTCCACAAAATAATACCACGTATCTCGTATGAAGAAAACATGTTCCACGGTCCATGCGGAACTCTTTCCATCAATGCCATCTACATGGAGAATAGAACCTTCGATACGGGGGCTCCAAAAAATTTTTCCGCGGAGACACAAGGAAACAGTGACGGCTACCTAGCTTGCTATCGCAGGACAACGGGAGAGTTGCCCCAGTCGATCGACACGAGTTGCACAACCGATGGAGCGTTTCGTACAACCGCTGGCCCTTCACCCCGGACTTTAGACAAGTTCTTCGCATCGTTCACCACGGCGATAACTGCACAATCCCTGCTGCTTCCCGGAAATGAAGCTCTCCTTGGCAACAATTCAAGATTCTGAAATCATCAGTGAGCATGGAAGCGGAACGTGAGCAGACGTTTTCAGAATGGCTTTTGTCTCTCGGAGAAGGCCGCCTCCCGATTTTGAATGAGATCTCCGATTACGCGGTTGCACTACCTCAACAATGTGTGGATGATGACAGAATCACAATGTCAATGGCAAAATCATCGGTCCTGAACACCTTGGTTCAATACAAAGCATGGCCATTCTTTGGCCCAAAGATGAAGAGACACTTCAATCGAACGAGACATTTCTAACACGAGTAGCGGGAGAATCCAAGACTGTAGAATCGCATGGACTCGTATGTGATGATCCCCTGATGAGTAAAAGAATTATGGAGTGGAAATTCTTTACACCCTGATCCATCTGGAATGCCACCCCACAAGTTGAACTCGAATCTGGTGTCGTCATGCTTCTTCGCAACATCAACAAAAAACAAGGGCTATGCACGGAATGCGTTTAATCGTCGGTCACATGATGAATAACATCATCGATGTAGAAGTGTTGACTTGAGGTGCAAAGGGGAAACGAGTTCTCATACCAAGGATTCATCTGGCTCTTACCAGGACGAACATACCCTTCACTCTGAAGCGCCGCCAGTTCCCAATTCGACTGGCTTTTGGCATTGACATCAATAAGGCGCAGAGTCAAACCTTCGACAGAATAAGGATTTCCTTAATAAAGTCAGTTTTCAGCCATAGCCCCAGCTATATGTGGCTTTCTTAGGAGTCCTTGCCTTTGACTGCGTTCAGTTGAAGTTGTTAACATCCTATAAGTAAGGTCAAACGAGAAATGGTTCGAATATTGGATGTTGTTCACAAGGCGAGTTCGTAGTTTGAACCGTTCTTTCTTTCAAATAAAATGCGAAATTCTTCTAGCAGTAAAAATGA